TCTCGCTTACTCGTTCCCGTCTTCGCCATGAAGGGAAAGGCCACGCACCCCATGGAGAAGCAGGTTCATGAGGAGAACGGGATGCTGAACAGACGTGCCAGAAAAAGGCTGGCCCCGTCCAGCCTGTGAAGCCGGTACGCTCTTGCTGTGTGCGGTTGTCCACTCCGTGCTGACTCTCAGTCACCCGGGCTAGGCAGAGTGCTGCTGCCCCCTCGGGCTTTCAAGGCTGGAGCCTCTCAGAAGCAGAGTGGCTGGCGTTTCTTCCGCAGCACCTTGGCTCCGACTCACAGCAACCCGAGATGCAAAAGAACAAAGCATCCTGTCCCATCCTCACGATGGGTCTTAGTCTCAGCCCACGGTTGCAGCCCCTGTATCAACCCATCTTGCCAAGGGCCTTCCTCTTTTTAGCTGCCCCTCTACTGTGCCAAGCTACCCCTTCTGCAGGCCCTGGTCTCTCCTGACAACACGTCCAAAGCACATGAGATGAAGTCTCACCATCCGTGCTTCTAAAGAGAAGTTGCGGGCTTCTTCCAAGGCCGGTCCGTTAGTGCTTCTAACATGCCACATTCCTACTCGGCACTGTCGTTTGAATGTATCGAGTCTTCGTTGGCACCCCTGGGTGGGCTCGAACTGCCGACCTCGAAGCATGTAACAGTTTCCATACCAGGGATTCCTCAGGAAGATAAAACTGCCTGCTGCTGGCTCGATGCCGACTTTCAGCATCCCTGTGGGACTGAGCAGAATGGCCCTATAGGGTGCTGAAAGCTGTGGGTCTTCCCAGAAGCAGAAGGTCTCAGCTCTGTCCTTTGGAGCAGCTGGTGGGTTTGAACTGCCCAGATCTCAGGAAGTGGCTGGGCACTTTACCGCTGCGCTGCTTCACAGAGAAGGAAACACGCTGTGGTCATTACATACTTTGGTGCCAACTTGCGGAGGGGTGGAATCTAGCCTGTCAATCTGAACGCACCTTAATGACCTCATTTGGAGGCGCCACAGAGATAAATAGCTCACTGGAGGTCAGATACACACAGACTCTCTGCTTGTCTTCCTGATGACAAGCCACATGGAGCTACACGGATGGAGCCAGAGCCCTGGAGCTGGAGGAGCTACATGGAGACCCACGCCAGTGCTGAGATGCTTCCACTGCCACTGGATCCACAAGACCTTCCACCCACGGACCTGTGATCTTCCTGCATTTGGCATCGTTGCATGGCTGCATGAGTCT